TATATGGTAGGGCATTAAGATGTAAGATATAAAAGTTAACAATTATTAATATAAAATTTCAAATAGGAGTCTGACATATCTACAAATCATAATACCTTGTAAAAGCAAGAAGTTGTGAGAAAAAATACATAATATAAAATTTTAAAAGCCAAATGGTCAGTAAGGCTGAGTTTGCCACAGACAACAACCACATTACCCCAGTGCCGCAAAGGCTCCCACCTACAGTGGGGTAAGGGGGTCAAACATACACAGCCTTGCCCCTGTACTAAAGAAGGGAGAAATTGTTTCCGGATAACGCGTGATGAAAATCGCGTCGAAAATTGAATGGACTGTACTGACTGCTTCAAAACAAAGAAGCGTAGACAGTTCAGTGAGCAATTTTGCTTTATTCCATCACATTCCCAAGCCAAAAACTAGAGAGTCTTTGACTCAATTGAAAATGATGGAAAGAGTTTGCCTCAATTGCAACATTGGACTTTTTCACTATTCACGTGTTCTACTTTGACTCTATTTTATTTATTAATATATTATAAATTAAATTTTTTAAAAAAAATATTGTTAAATTCCTCTCATTTTAAAGTTTCAAAATCTATATTTTTTTAAATTTGTTTACTAATAAGGTATGAAAGATATTAATGGTCAACTTGTGCGTTGACAAACGTGAAAAGTGGACCGTTGCATTTGAAAAAGAACGGAGGAAGTATCAATGCTATAAAACTCTTTCAGATTCATTTAAATGTTGTTCTGCCAATTAAAACTGAATCAACTACTACCTCCATCCCATTTTATGTGTCCTACTTTGATTTGGCACAATTATTAATAAAGTAGTTGAAACGGTAAAAGTTGTGATTGAGATTTGAGTATAATAAAGTGAAATATTGTTGACCACATATTTCTCTCCAAAAAAAGTAAATGTGACACTTATTTTGGGACAACCCAAACAGGAAAGTAGGAAAGGTAAAATGGGATGGGGGAGTTAAATATAATGAAATTTAAATAGCATACACCAAGGGGTAAATTAGATGTATTAAAATTTATCTGAAAGATTCTATAAAATGCGCCAAATAAATAGATAACCTTTATTATACTGCATAATGCATATGCGATGGAGGTAAAATATGAGAACTTTGTGCAGTAAAGGAAACCCAAAACATACCAAAGAGACATACACCTGAATAACCCTTAAGGTTTGAGAAGAAAAGAAAAACAAAGGATGATTTAGAACTAAACCAGATACATGAAAGTGAGAAGAGATGTGGAGAAATCTTACTATTTCCAAACAGGGGGGAGTTTCTTGGTCTTCTTGTAGTAGCGCGCAAGGCGATGAATCCTGCTCTCAACAAGAATCAGACGGAACTTGGAGTCTTTGTCCTTCCTATTCCTCTCCAAATGCTTCCTGATTGCAACAGCCTTCTTAATCAAATGGTACAGATCCTCTGGTATCTCGGGAGCCAGACCTATACACAATTTTCCAAAGCCACCAGCATTCTATTATTATACTATCAAGCAACCAAATTATCCTCCAGATATTTGTATAAAAAATTATTACCATGTGCCTTGAGGATGCGGAGAATTTTGCTTCCTGTGACACTCTTCACTTGAGCAATTCCATGTGAATCTCTCAGAAGAACACCGATCTGCGAAGGTGTTATACCTTTTTTTGCAAACTTGCATATGCTCTCTTCCACCTTAGGTCATCAAAATTAAATCAAGGGTCCATCTTGAAAACAGAAAATGATATAGAAGGAAGGTAGGGAGGCAAATAAAGATTGAAAGGAAGAGAAGAGATGTGGGGGAAACATCTGTTCAAGCTTACTTAATTTAATTGAATATTTTTAGAATTCTTAGTTATTTTTTCATGTTAAATAAATACTAATCCATCTGAATAGATATAGAGAATGACACTTCTTAGCATTTTTGTTTCTTTCTACCTAGCATTTTCCAAGTTCCAAAGGCCCTCAAGCTTTTTAAAGTGAAAAGAGCACTAAAGCGAGAAGGTGAAGCTCTGCTTGAAAGTGAAAGCGCAAAGCCTTGCTTTCTCACAAAAATGGACACATAAAAATACAAATAAAATATATGAGGTCAATAAATAGATGATACAAATCTCATCGACCAATTTTTATGAATGATGAGTATGACGTGTAGTTTGCAAAGAGTGATTCCTTGGTACCATCCACTCCAGTACTAAGTTTAAAATCATCTGCTTCATGCACTATTGTAAAAGTAACACTCTTAATCCATGCACTGACATAGTAAAATGTGTTCATAATATTTTATATTATCTATAAGAACTGAAGATACTGTTATTTACTTATATTCAATATATTCCATTTGAGTATAAAATACACTCATGCAAATATACTATAATCTGCCAAAAATAAAAGAAAAAGTGAGCGGCTGCTAAACTTAGATACGGGATGGAGATTTCACTACTAATTTACTAAAAGGATGAAATAGAAACTAATCACACCAATTCATTCTGATGTCTATTTGATAATTGTATACTTGATAAATATTAGTGCACACTATAGGTTATAAGGTTCAATATATTTCATTTCAGTGTTTTTAAGACTTTAAGGAATTAATGGAGTAAACTAGATTCATCAAAATCTTTTATCTATTTGGGTAGCATTATACAATCTGATAGAAAGTAATGAGTGGTGTTTTGATATGTAGGGGGGAAACTTTAAAGTACCTGGATTGTTTTACAATTTTATAATTTTCAAAATTAAAAAATCAGATTTTAGCTCTGACTCTAAAATTAATTTGAAGTTCTTGCTTTCAAACATTTTATTGTCCAAAAACATTTTATTGTCCAAATAAACTTTCAGCCTTACACAATACAATCTATGCACATAGTTTATCTCTTAAAACATAACAATGAAAAGAATTATTAAAAACTCCTCTTTATGTGAATCTTTTATGTTTTTACTTTTCAGTTTCAAACTGTTTTTTACAATCATTTGTTTGTTTGAATATGTTTGAATCTTTTTGTTCTGTCTATGCAAGCATCTTCTTCTATTTATGTAATTGTCAATATGTCATCTTCTCCAAACATATAATTGAAGCAAAAAGCTTAAGTGAAGAAGCACTGAAAAACTACAAGTGAGAAGTAGAGTTTCAAAGAAGAACTTTTAACTTTAAATTAACCTAGAGATGCAAAAAAGGAATTAAAAGAAGAAGAAGAACTGAAAACAACAAGTGAGAAGTAGAATTCAAGAAAAAAGATTAAGCTTTAACCCTAAATTAACCTAGAGATGCAAAAAAAACTTCAATGAAGAACTGAGAACTACAAGTGCGAAGTACAATTTCAAAGAAAAAAATCAAGTTTTAACTTTAAATTGACCTAGAGATGTCGAGCCAGAGAGAGCAGCAGAAGCTTAAAGTTCTGGTGTTTGGTATTAGAAAAGAAAGTAAATTTGAAAAAAAAGGTTGATTGGTCAGATTGCGGTTTTCATGAAAAGAACTAAAAAGAGACACTTTTAGAGTTTAAGTGAAGCATCCAATGCACTCAAAAAAGACGCTTTCTCATGCACCATAGCTTAGTAAAAGCTAAGCCCTGAATCTTGGCTCACTAGCGCTTTGGCTCTGAAGTGTGCTTTTAATAAGTCTGATAGCTCTAAAACATTGAAGTTTGAAATTATAGATGTCAATAAAAATGCAAGTACTTTTGGAGTTTATGGATCCATGAAAATGTTGCTGAAAGGAAACACATCCCATAATAGTTATCTTAAGTGCATCATTTTACTGGGAAGATAAAAGGTAATAAACTTATATTAATGTATAATCCATGCCTGGCTGCTTAAATGATTTCAAAGGCATACATAAGTTCAGGTTTCTTAGTCCTTGTATAATAGAACTACATAACTGAAAAAATTTACAGCAATTACAGGAATCTAAATTCTTAGTGTTTGGTCATTACTAAATACAGGTGATCACCACTTATCTTTAATTGCCCAATGATGAAATTTAAAAAAAACGTAGGTATTCACCAACTACCATTAATGGCATTAGCTTTACAATATGCAAAATTAAAAACTTTTACTCACTTCTTGCGCGGAGACCTTGAGCCAAGCTGGAGGAGTTCTCTTGTAAGGGGGGCATGGAGCTGAGATACCCTTACTACAATCAATAGAGCATGTAAATCAGTCAACTTTCGATTATATCTCTCCGATAAATAAAATCGGCTGAGAAACATAGATATGCAAAAAACAAAACAATAATTACCCGCGACTGTGCATACGACCCATGGCTGCTGCGGCGGCGGTGGCGGCGTGACACTCCTGATAATTGTTACAAAGGCACAGATCCGGTAATATGAATAATAATTGAAAAGGCTAATGTGACATTCTTCTTATGAATGTTAGGAGTTGGAAACAAATAAAGTGAAGCCATACCTATAGGAATGGAAGAACGACGACCCGAAGTCGGAGGCAAATGCCGAACTCAGTGCGACTGCGGAACACTGCGAATGGAAGCTTATACCGTGGCTTCTAGGGTAGAGTTATCTATAACCTGGGCTTATGTTGGATATTATGTGGCCCAATCAATCTCTATGAATAATCTATAAATAATTAGGAGTACATTTTAAAATGAAAAATTTCCGGAAATAGGACTAATAACATTTGAGAATTCCAAATTAGGATTGTTATGTCTTTATTCTCTAAAATGAAGTAATTACTAATTACTGCCAAGTTTAAAAAAAATACTACTCCCGTCGTCCTAAATAAACTTTCAACTTTCCTTTTTCGTTCGTCCCAATTAAAACTTCCACTTTCCATTTTGGGTAAAGAATTTGTGGTTCACAATTTAAATATACAACTATGAAAAGTTTTGTCATATGTCATCTTCTTAGCAACTTATTTATCATAATATTTTAGACTCTTCCTATTTTAGAATCATGTAATCTCCTTGTCCCATTGAACTTTGTTTACTTTCTCCTTTTTGTTGTCCCAAAGAACGTTGTCACTTTTTCATTAAAGTAATCAATTTGTGGTCATGTTCATTTTTCTCTTTTCTATACAAATTTTAACCACATAACTTTTTTCGATTCTCTGTTCTCGCCTAATTCAAAATGTGCAATGTCCATTGAGACATAGGTAGTATATTAATATGTCTTGTTGAGAAAAATGACATGTTTAATAGGACTAAAACATGGCATTTTTAACTAAAATGTGCAATGGCATTCTCTTTTCTCAACATAGACATATTAACATATTAAGTGAGAATGACACGCCCATTGAGACATAGGTAATATATTAAGTGCATTCGTAATATACAAATTTATCACGCCCATTGCTGGTTTCACTCTATTCGCGTTAAGAGAATGACAAAATTATCATCGAGACCCACCTTGACCTCCACAAACTCTTGCCGATGCTTGTTGTTATTCCTCATGAGAACAAAGATAGAAATTGGCAACATTGTTCCGACAAAATGTTGAGGATGAATCCCAGCCGTGTTTGACAGTGGAGCCGACAAGTCAAAATTCATGTTGTAATTAGCGCAAGCAAGAGGTGGTGATGGAGGTCATTGAGGCAATGGTTAAGGAGGTAAGGGTAGCTAAGGTGGATCACTGTGGATGGCACAAGGCCACAAAGGTTGTGGTTATGGAGCTTGGGCGGCAAGGGGCATGTGGGTGTTGAGGCATGTAGGCTAGGTGGCAGAGGTCACTCTTGAGGAGATGGTCCAAGGTGGAGTCCACATAGGCGGTTCATATGAAGGGGGAGGTATAAATGAAGGAATGGAGGAAAGAGAAAGAATGGAAGAAAGAAAGAAAGGAAATAAGAAAGAAAAGGGAAAAGGGAAAAGAAAAGGAAAAATTATAAATAAATAGTAAAAAATGTCAGTTAGACATCCACGTAGACCATCAACTGGGAAATCAAACGATCACATATGTGTTTCACTTTAGTACAGCAGAAAAATCTTTTGTACACATTAGTATTGTTGTACACACATATGTGAATGCTTTCTTTTGTCTTTCACTAACAAAACGTGTTTTGTCTGTGACAGACAAAAGAAAGTCTTCACAGGCGTGTGCACAAGTGTGTACAACAATAAAGTGTGTAATCAAGAATTGTTTTTAGCACTTCGTAAACTTGATCGATTCACTTAAAAGTTAGATGACTAAATTCACTTTTTTTTAATAAAAAGGTACAAAGACCGGCTATGGGGGGGCACCTAGGCAAATGCCTAGGGCACTGAGATATTGTGGGGCATCAATTTTTTTAAAAAATTATTATTGTTATATATTCAAGGGAAAGTTCCCAAAATTAGACTAATAGAGTTTGAAAATTCCAAAATAGGACTGCCATGTTTTTATTCCTAAAATAGGAGTAATTTTTTTGAAAATCAAATAACATATATTTAGCAATCAAACCGAAGCAAGTTCACAATACAATCCGGTGGAGTTCCCACCCATAAACAATCAGACTCCGAATCGGCCCGCTGAGCCAAAGTATGAGCAACCCGATTCGCTGATCGCTTCACAAAATGGACACTTAAATTAGCAAAACTAGCTATCATATGTCTAATCTTAGCAAAAATGCTATCCTCGTAAGCAATACCATCCGAAGTTGCAATCCCCTGGACCACTGAGAGAGCATCGGATTCAACAAACACACTTGACCACCCGGCCTGTCCTGCCCAAATAACAGCCTCTCGAACTGCTAGAGCTTCCGTTGTACTAGCCGCAAACCTTCCCCGCACCCATATACTTCTTCCTGCAATAAAAGAGCCTCGTTCATCTCTTGCAACCAGCTCCATTCCCCGCCAATCATCTTGCATATGAGCCCTTGCATCCACATTAATCTTCACAACTCCCGCCATCGGTGGTTGCCATTTGTCCAGCTCCATATCTCCTGCCCGACCCCCTGTACTGCCAGGAGCTGTTATCGGCCTACTGCACATATGAAGTCGTGCCTCCTGCCAACCAGACACCAAGGCTTAGCCCCGGGCTACTACGCCCCTCCAGTTGGAGGTGATATTCTTCCAAGTTTTATCATTTCTTGATTTCCACAGGCTCCAACATATCACCACAAACATCTCAAAATCTTTGTTAGAGCATTTACTACTAACCTTGTTGGCCCATTCTCCAAAGCAGGCAGCCCCTACTTGCAAAAAGATTTGGTTTCGGCTCCTCCAAACTTCTCTTGCTAAAGCACAATCCCGGAAAACATGCATCATGCTCTCCCTTTCTTGTCCGCATACGGTACATATCGGCCACACCGGCACGCGCCGCTGGATCAGCCGCTCCTTTGACGGCAGACAATCCGTGCAAACCTGCCAGAAAAAAGTTTTCAATTTAGGTGGTAAGTTTAGCTTCCAAACTCGAGTCCAGTCCGGCCTATTCTCCACATATGTAGCAAGCTTCCTGTAGCAACTCCGGACCGATTATTTTCCATTTCTCTCAGCCGCCCAAATCAATTCATCCCCTCCCCGAAAGCCCTTTAAGGGTATGGCCGAGATAGCTTTGCAATCTTCCTGCTGAAAAATATCATGTAAAATATCCTAATCCCAGTCGTTACCACTCTCATTTATTAGTGAGTCCACCTTTATATCTTCAAGCTCACTAATAATACCATTCGCCGCTCGCCCCCCATTTTTGGTAGGGAACTAGGGATCCATTTATCCTTCCAGACCCTAACACTAGATCCATCCCCTATCCGGCAAATCAGCCCCTCCTGGACCGTAGGCATGGCCGTAATTATACTCCTCCAAATAAGGGAGGGATTACTCCCTACCCCCGCAACCAGAATATTACCCTTGGGATAATATCGAGCACGAAGAACTCTACTAACAAGCGACCCCGACTGTTTAATAAGGCGCCACACCTGCTTTCCCAACATAGCAATATGGAAAATATGCCATGTTTGAAGTCTGGTGCTGCCAAAATATGACAGTAATTAGTCCTATTTTGGGAATAAAAACATGACAGCCCTATTTTGAAATTTTCAAACTCTTTTAGTCATATTTCGGGTAATATTCTCTATAATCAATATTTAGTACTCTGTCCTCGGTAATACTGAAAAAGAAATACTCCACTACGCAAAACTTGAAGAAAAGCAAAACTTGTACAAAGTAAGAAGTATATATATTTGTCACGTGGCCATTATGAATGAGTAATACAAAATTTATAAACTACTGCAAAAACTATGAAATAGTTTTACTTATCGGTAAATTCAATCTATTTTCTTTAATGAGTACAATTTTAGTAATAGCTACATATGTTTTACTATATTATATTCAATATAATTTAAAATTGATTAAGAAAAAGAAAACAGCATTCTTAATTTATACACTATGAAATATTCAGAATTTTGTAATAGGAGTGATTATGAACTACAACGATAATGTTTCAAAAAATATATAATAATTTGATACTTTGAATCAACTACTATATACGGAGTACATAATTAAGGTGTAAAACATTACTGACTAATACCGCATGAAAATACAATTTTAGTTTTTGTCTAGGATACCAAATCAACTAAAGACAACCCTACTTCAAATGGTGGATCTTTTAGAGTTGCACATCATAAATACAAATTGAATTTTCAACATGGCACAAGGTTCTATTTGATCACTTGATCATGAATTGGACACTGTACTCCTTTCGCGATTGTTGAACCTCACTAGATTGTAGCAAACTACTACCAAAATTATTTTGCAAGTGAGGTGATTTATATAAATTAGAACATATTTTTTTTTACCTCTAATACTAGATGTACTAGCAGATGTCATAATAATGTGCATCGATTATGATGATGATGATGATAAACAATACGAAATGAATGTCGATCATGCAAAACGAATGTTGTAAACTTTACTTATTTATATTTTGCAAATAACATAATGTGAAGTTCTAAGATGGATTGTACATTATTTGCTCAATGTTTTGATCAATTCAACAAATCTAAAGCCTATATAAATCTCAACCACTTGTTATTAAATTCAACTCGCCAAAGCAAAGATCTAGAATGGTATAACCTCTCCCGTTTTATGTATCAATTTAAACATTAAAATTTACTCTTTAAGAGATGGAGTGCTCTTCTCATCAGGCCGGCCTGACGGGCTGCTCCGTCCGGCCGAGCCCGTTTGGGCACCTTCCCGGTGGAATTTTTTGATGAAATTTTTTGAGCATGTTCCTCATCAAGTCTAGTTTGTCCATACCAAATTTCAGCTCAAAATTCGATCGGGAAGGCATTCAAATCATTTTTTGAAGTTGACTGCGTCAAAATATACATATAAAACTGCAGTCAACTTCAAAAAATGATTTGAATGCCTTCCCAATCGAATTTTGAGCTGAAATTTGGTATGGACAAACTAGACTTGATGGGGAACATGCTCAAAAAATTTCATCAAAAAATTACACCGGGAAGGTTCCCAAACGGGCTCGGCCGGACGGAGCAGCCCGTCAGGCCGACCTGACATGAAGTTTCCTCTTAAGAGATGTATTCAAATGTCTTTTATTTTCACAAATAAATTCTCATTGCAAAATGCAATCAATTGCACAAAAATAATATGCAACCCTTCATGTGTTCAAGTTGAAAATTAAAAGGCAAGTATGTATTAAACCTTTAGATAACATCTAAACTTTTGTAAAATATTCAAATGTGTACAAACGTGACAATACTTTAAGCTTCGGCCTCCGCAATATAGATTTTTAAAACTCCACCCCCTAAGGCCCTAACATTATAATTCCGTCTCCGCCACTGAAGGTATCCAACCTTTCCAATACTATACATTTATTATTTGTTAGTAAACAATTACGTGACAATCTTGTAAACTATGTCAACCCCTAATTTCCACTTCCTAAGATAGGCACTGGCCAATCCATGCCTCCAAGGTTTGACCACACCAATGACATTGACTTCAATTAAGTGGCTTTAGTTTCGCACTTTTTTTTAAAAAATATGAAATGAATGAAATTTGAAATGAAAAGTTAAAGTTAGAAGAGGAAAGTGAAAAGGGTAATTAAAAACTTGACCACCCATATTTATTGACCAACTAGAAAGTATAAAGGAGTAGAAAAGGGGTAATCAACTTGACGAACCGTATTTATTGACCATTTCTAAACATGTGAGCACGTATGCAAGATATTGAGGAATATTATTGGACCAAAAGTTTATTCACTTAAAATATTCTTATTATAAGTGAGCGGGCTAGACCGCTAGAGGGCCACACTATAGTTGACACATCCAAATTAAATTTGAAAAAACTTTTATAATTTTATTACTAATGTAAAAGGTATCAAATAAAAAATTTATAAAAGAAAATCTTTAAACCACGTCAACACTTATATGGAATTTGTTACACCACTACTTTTACTAATATAATATTATAAAAGTTTGTTAGTATTAGAATATATGCTTAGTTATATTATGAATTATGAATATCCATGTCTATGCAATAGCTTATGCATAATTATATTATAAATAAATATTTATGCAATATTTAATTTTTTTCTCTCCAACCATCTAAAAGTGAGAACGATAAATATGGCAGTTTTCTATAAGAAATTAAACAATTATGCATTGACACACATAATTACATGTTGGCACAAATATAATCGTCTTAAGAACAAACAACTAATGTCTAATCAAACACATTGATTTTCATGTCAAAATGTAGACGGGCACATAAACCTACACAGACGGGCACATAAACTAATGTTTGTTTGTGTGCACAGACAATTGTTGTCTAGAGTGTACAAACAATAGTTGTCTGTGTGAGCAAATTACGATTTTTTTTCAATTAGATGTTTCTCGCGAAGACAACAATTGGTGTATGTATCCAAACACTTGGGCCATATAACAAGCTGAAAACACCATGCTAGTGTTTGGATATAAGGAATTGAATTTCCTAATTCAATCCTAGAATCTAAAGCATTGGAATTTAAGTTACCTTTACAAAAAAAGAGAAGATGATGATGGAGAGGTGTTTAGGGAGGGAAGGACCAAATCAAATATAATTTATATGGAAAATATGGGTACCATATTTTGGAGAAAAAAGTATTAGTTCTGGATGGAGAAATTTCCCTTGTGGAAATTGCAAAGCTATTCTTAAGGCCAAACGATAGTGATTCTTCTCGGTCGAGTGAAAGGATCATCTAAGGTTGAAATTTGAAACCAAACAAGCCCCATATTGAAACTATTAATAATGCTTTTCATGTATTTACACGAACAAGTAAATTGAGGAGACAATAGTTCGCTCTAGAACCAAGTAATGAGATAACCTTGTTGACATAACTACATTGAACAGTCAAAATTACACAGTAAATAAATACTCACATTGTTTTTTGAATAGCTCTCCACTCTTAAAAATTATGAACACTTCAATACATTGTAACACGAACAAGCTCTTACTTCTGTTGTTAGCAAGCTAATGTACAACAGTCTTTAAAGTCTTGTACATAGCTGAACACGCACGAGAAAATTCTGACATTGCCCGAAACAGTTCAGGCAGGCCGGTTTTCAAACTGGTAAGCGACTTCTCGCTGACATGGATGCATTGCCTCTGGTAGTTCTCCTCCTCCTCTTTCAACCTATGCTTCAGATTTTCCAGCTGCACCTGTCGTTCAATTACAGCACTATCCTCTTGACCACCCCCTTCTTCGTCTGCCATGTCAGCATCATTTGGTGTCCTCCTTTGCATATACTTGTGATACCAATCCTCGTATTGCCTTGTCTTCTTCGTTAGCTCCTTTCTCATCTCATTACACCTCTCCCTCAGCTTCATCTCCTCCGCTTGGTGCTGCACCATGGTGTTAACAACTGCAGAGAAACTGTATATGGCATTTCTGGCAAGTTCATCCGGAAGCTTTATGATCAGGTCTTCCCAGGCAAGGAGAAGGGAGAGGATGGGAGGGTGTTCTGGCCTTTGTGGAGAGGAGACCACCTTTTCCTTGAGATTCGTGTCGATGGGAATGAGATTTAACTTCAACCAATTGTTTAGCGCTTTAATATATTCCTTCTGGTGGCTTATCATCTTCTCAAACTGTGTGTGCCACTCTTGCAATACCACTCCAAGCTGGAAAGTGCGTTCATGTAGGTGCTCACTTGTTTCTTTGGGAGATTGTAGCATTTCTAGAGACCTTAGAGCCAGAGAGATATGTGATTGTGTTTCGTGGTGTCCTTTCATCGTCTCCCACATTTTAGCCATACTGAGGAAGAAGTTACAACAAACTAGTAGTGTTCAAGTATTCAAGCAAATAAAGCTGGAAATTCTACTAGGTTATGCTAGGATAATACTAGTATGATTTGAGTCAAATCCTGTGTTTGGGAATTCAAAGAACTTTGCATTTGGAATTGGATTTCACTAAAACCGCACACTAATTAAAAAAAATCAATCTATTACTACGTAATAATTTTGAATTCCTTCAAAAGTAAAGGTAACTTAAATTCCAATGCTTTAGATTCTAGGATTGAATTAGGAAATTCAATTCCTTATATCCAAACACTAGCATGGTGTTTTCAGCTTGTTATATGGCCCACATGTTTTAGATAGGAAAACACAATACAGACACTGTTGTATGTAGAGTACTAACTGCTTCTAAAAGTTGATTCACTTAACACTGTGTTTAGTAAATCTCTTTAAAAGGAGAGGAAAATAAGAAGGGAAAATAACTTTTAGTTTCATTTCTTAATACTACCTTTAGTACTTGCCTTCAAAACAAAAAAATACTACCTTTAGTACTTGAATTGAGCTAAAATATAAAGTAAAGCAAATAATTGTTTTATACTACGTATATATTTGGACAATTGATTTCAGAGGAAAATAAAGTTATAGACTCATAGTGGTAATAACTTATACCATAGTAGTACGTTATACAAAATTCATAGGATACAGAAAATATATTTTAAAATTTTGAAAATTGGAATGAAAAGGTCTCTTTAATAAGGATCTAGAAACATAAGAAATAAAGAAACTAGATTATACCTAAGGGAGAAAGGAAAGAAACCTTAAGAGTCAGGCATTATGAAGTATGAAGTTATGAAGCATAAAAACTTACCCGTCAACAAGTGCATACAGTTTTGGAAAAAGTTGATCATCACGTAAACGGTTTATTTCAGAAACAGTTGAATCCATAGATTGCATGTCGACAATGTATCTGGTATGCAAGTGGCTCACTGTTGCCTTCATCTTCTCTAACGCTTCAGTATTCGTCCCACGCTTCTTTAACTTATTTAGTGATGCTACCTTTTTTTGATACTCAAGTTTCATTTGCTCCCCCGCCTATGCAACATCACCCGCATGTACAAATTTTAAAATTCTGAATGCTAAAAGAAATGCTCTGACCAGAAAAAATCCCACTTTTCATACCCAAGGAGTATTTGGCCATAGGCCATAACCTCATTTTAGTCCTTGACTTTCAATTTTTCGACTTGTGGTGCATAATTCTGGATTCATCGCGACTTTTGGTCCTTTCTTATCACTTCGGCAAAAATGAACCATAAAACTGAGTGTAAGTTGGCTGGTTAAGTGATAGGAAGGACCAAAATTGACAATTAATCCATAGTCGTGCACCAAAAGGGACAAGAAATTTATGGTTGTGTACGGTGTACCGAAAGGGAAAAAGTAGGAAGAAGGTGACCAAAAACGAGAATGAACAAATAGTAACCAAACCAAAAGTGGAGGATTTTTTTTATGAAGAATGCATAGGAACTTTAGAGCTGATTGATCATACCTTCACTTCATCATAGAGCTTTTTCTCCCATGCTAGCATCTTGTCCAGCACAGTTGCATGAGTTTCATTTTCTTCA